GGCTGGATTTTTTTTTTTTTTTTTTTTTTTTTTTTTTTTTGGTACCGGGGATCAAACTCAGGACCTTGTGCTTGGGAGTCAGGCAATGGAACCACTGAGCTAAATCCCCAGCCCTGGAATTTAGTTTTTATTTCTTTCTTTTCCAATGTGCAGCAGCAAAGGGCTTAATTTAAAAGGTGCCTCCTGATGCAGAAAGAAAGGTTTTCTTGGGAGAAATGGAAGTTCGAGTAACAGTGTGTGGCAGGTCTATGGATTCTATACGTGTAGCCCCTGTTAGGTGACCACAATCTCTGCACTTTAGAGACACACAATATTTTCATGCAAAACCATCTGACTGTAAATGGGACACTTCGAACACAGTGGTCCAGCCCTGTGTTTTGAGACATGAATGTCTTTAGACTCTACCAGAATAATGCATGTACATAGTATATATTAACCACAGACATTTTCAGATTATTTTAGCAGACACAGGACTGAGGATGAGGTCCATAGATTCCAGGTTCAGGCCATTAGTTCTGACTGTAATTTATAGTTGGAGTTGGAGGACCTTTAACTCTTTAAGAAACAGCTGGTGACGATACACTCTCTATTGGCTTCCCTCAGCCAATCTGAACTTGTTTCCTGGGTCTTTCATGACTGTTTGTTAGTTTGGTTCAGTCATTCACTTGTCCCTTGCTTATTGGTGGCCCACTGATAGGTATCAATGTAACTACCTGTAAATGTTAATAGAATGGCACTATTTCCATACTCAAATGGCATGGAAAGAAGAGATCAGAATTGGTCAGCTATTTTGAGCAGGGCTGGTAAACAAACATGCACTCATCAATGCATTACTATTCAACAGGTTCATCCACCAGTGCTGTTCTGTGAGATGTGATAGGCAGAAGAAGAAACAGAAAGATCATATCCGGGGTGCTCTTACCCTAACTAGGAGGACACCACCAAGACAGAGACCATCAGAAATCACTGGAGAGTGAAGTTATCATAAGAAGCAGAACGCTTAACTATTCAGAGAGGGCAAGTGGTAAGGTGGTTTGGAGAAACCGAAGAATTATTTTCAAATCCTGCAGTTTACCTAAAAGTCGTTATATGTAGCTGTTCTATCTCCACACCCACTACAAACTAGTATCTGTGATTATCACTAAGTTGATTATTCAGGAATGACTTTAGTCATCGACTCTGGGGGGTGGCATGAGTCTCTCGCTTTGGGTTTTTTTTTTTAATGAAATGAAATGGACATTTCTAAACTTAGAACAAGTAACTTTTATTTATTATGTTTAAGAAATCTAAATTAAGAAGAAAACTTTAAAAAATAGTAAAAGGGAAAATAGGAATGAACACAATTGAAGGGGAAACATAGATATGCTAGAAAACAGGCTTTTGTATCATTAAAACAAAATGACACTGTTATGGCTTATATCTAGATGTCCCCTCAAAGCCTCATGTAGACTTAGGCGGGACTTTCTTAGAAGTGGCTGAATCTAGATTGTGACTGATTCATGGCGCAATGCTAGGATTAAGGATGATAAGATTAAAGGTGGGTGATTACTAAATCAGTCCATTAATTGGTTTAGCACTGCCCGAATCCCAGCAGCCTGGATACAACACAAGGGACAGAAAGAGCCTTGTCTCCCCGCTTGCTTGCTTTGCTACCTTCTGCCCACCAGGAGCTGTTTCTCTGCGATGCCTATCTGCCATCCACCCTGCCTTGGAGCCAACCAATTATGGTCAGAAACATCTATAAACTGGGAGCTAAAAACCTTTCTCTCCTTTAACTTTGGGTATCAGGTATTTTGTCCCAGAAACGAGAAAAGTAACTAAGATAGGCAACCACATTTCATTTTGAAACATAGGATTTATTTATTTATTTGGTTCCAGGGATCGAACTCGGGACCTTGCTCTTGCAAGGCAAGCAGCAGAACCACTGAGCTAAATCCCCGGCTCTGAATCATAGCATTTTATATTTTCAATGTATTCAAATAAGCTGAAGACTCACAGCAAAAAATATCATCATGTTCTAATCATGAGAAGTAAATCATGAAAAAGTTTTTCTACTTTGTGGAAAATTTCTAGAAATTATAATTTTGTCATAAAAAATGTTCTCATGTCTTCTTTTATCTTTTAAGTCATCCAAAGGCCAGATGTTGAGAAACAGGGGTATAGTCTTCCCTTTGCTCCAGACAATTGGCAATCTTTAATACAGCATAATTAAATAATTGCTTTGGACCATTTTGGGTATAATTAATCATTTAGCACTGAAGATTGCTGGAAACAACATCGTCTACAAAATTCAAACACTCAGTATTTCTGAGATACAAAAATGTGATGTTCTCATAGCCCTCTATGGTCCCAAGTTAGATAAGGGGATACAATCTGTTTTAAGTTGAATATCATAGATATTTAGTTGTAAATGTGGATTGGAAGAGTCTGAAAGTATGGGATGTAAATCCAGCAGACTTCGAACATAGATTTTTTTTTTCCCCAGTTGGTGAAGTAGGGAGAGAAAGATCAGAGGAGAGTTTCCAGGGTTTGGGAAAGATGGAGACTCTGGGCACCTTCTCTGGAGGAACAGTAGAAGGTGGGCACTAGACTAGCTATTGGAGCGAGACTGTGGCCAAATTCTGGATCAGGAGAAAGGGGTCTCTGAGACTGATTAGGGCCACCCCTTATCTTGTATAGATCACCTAGGATCTGGGTTTAGCCATGTGCTTGTTATACCAAATACTCAATTGATTCTTTCATAGCTATAGCCCTGACCTTTATCCCCACTGACCAAAGTGCCCAGGTGGTCTGAGGCAGTGGTCAGGGTTAAATCTGAACCAGTGTGTCCTAAGCTTGGGCTAATCAGCCCCATGCTTTCCTGCCTCCCCCAGCACTGTTTGGAAAAGGAAGAAGCAACAGTAGAAAAGACATGAGGTAGAGAAGTGAGTGGCTCATGAAAATTGACAGCCTTCTTTTAAAATTTAAAGTCCTATTTTTTTTCCTTGAGTGGAAATGAAGAGGAGTCTATTACAATTTTAAATTAATTTTGTTAGCTTTCAAAGCAAAAGCTCAAGAGATCTATATTCCCTCAAGATAAGTTTTTGTCCTTCTTAAAATTCAATTTTTAATCTTCGAAGCAATGGTGCATTGGGCAAAACACAGCTTAATATTGTTGTTCTTATGATGATTTTCTTACTACTCCCAGGTAAGCAGAATAGTGGCACAAGAATTTTGACTACCTGTTATAAAATAGTGATTAGAAAATACGAATTATCTTGGCTAGTTCAGTGTTCAACTGCTAATTGAATTTCCTGGAAAAGGACTTTTGGTCTCAATATCATGCTGTCAATCATAAGTTAGAAAAGCAGTTGGCATGAAATTTAATTTCAGTCTTTTTTTTTGGAGGAGCTCATGGGTAAAAGTAATATCCCACCTTATATATGTCTGATAAACAGTGATGGCCGCAACATTAACAGGCACATGAGCACCATAAGGCTT